TGCCGTCAACGGTCTCACTCTTACGGGCATCCTTCGAGCCCACTGCCTTCCTCAACGCGGAGGCGGGCGCAGTCTTCGTCACGAATGCATTCAGATCCATTTCTATGTCCCGACTCATGGCAATGCTAGGCTTACCCTTGGGTGGTGTTGGAGCCACGTTTTCTTTCGGATCGGTTGCAATGCGAAGCTTTTTCATAGACGTGTTTGTCGCCGTGTTGGATGCGGGACTCCGATCGACGGTGTTGGGTCCGTCAGCCGCCGCAGACTGTCGCCAATCCTCGTTCTGACGTGACGGCTCAGCATTAACTTGCGGCGCAGTTGTCTTGCCGGATTTTGTGTCATCCTTCCCTTCACGGGGTGGCGGCAACTGACAGATGCTCGTCCGGTCAGCATCGCTGCTCCGTGCAGGCGGATAGATGGTTCCATCGGGGAAAATTGACGCCGCCACAATTCATAAGGGCCGGCATATTTATTTGTCGTCACATTCATCGTGAAGGCAACGGTGGCCCCTTCCTCTTCCGTTGCACAGCTGACAACACAGTTGCTACATGTGTGCACCGCATTGACCACATGGCACACAGCACCCAGCTCACCATTCCTGCTATGCATGCGCACATCAAAGCCACTGAAAGTGTAATTCTCATGCTGAGCCTCAGCAGCGGCAGGAGAACACTTCGTCCACGCCACACACACACGCGATAGCTCAGGCTGCCGTCACTCTGAGCACACGACACATCCACCGGCACAACCACCGCATCCGCATCACCAGATACATCTCCAGCACTCCCAGCAGCCGTCACGCACACGGAGCGAGCACCCACCACGCCAGGCAGAAGCGGAAGCAAACCCTCATCCTTCCATGACGCGGCACAAAAACCTACAAACATCCCGCCCTCAATGGGGCACGGAGCCCAACTCAACGCAGTCACACGCGGTGCACCACACCCGCAGAAAAGGAGACTCGGGCTGCGCACACCCTCTCCTCCCTTCATTCTCATGGCCACGGAGGAAGACAACAGCCGCCACACGCAACTGCCAGCATGCACTGCAAAAGGAGCATCCAAATCCACTGCAATGTGCATCTTGTGTGTGTGTGCCTGCAGAAACACAAAGCAAAGAAGAAAAGAGGGAGCGGAGTATGCGGAGAGACGCACAAAAATGTACAGCGGAGATGCATGGCGGAAACAACAGGAAAAAGACCGCTCAAACTCATGACTGTACTGCAGCCCAGGCAGTGGCAACCCACACAAGATTTATCCAAAATAAAAAAACACGTCCCCCTTCGTCCTATACAAACCCCATCACACAAAATAATTATAAATAAAAGAACAAGAAGTCGTCCATTACTGTTCCACACAAATTTAAAAGACAGCCGGCTGCCATGTGGTCACACCAAACTGTCTGCGTACATTTTGTCCGAAAATAAAATTAAAAGATATTTAAATGTCTTTCAACCGTCCGACCCTCCGTGTGTCCGCACATCGTTTATATTTCATGGGGTCATCTGCGTGTTGCTGCTCCCCTCAGCCCTCCCATCGGCGCGTGAGTGCGGCCCGCAGAGCACAGTCACTCGTGTGTGTGTGGACTGAGAGAAGCACGCAGACATGACGGCAGTCGCGTCACCCCATCGGGAGAGTGAGCGCAGCAAAAGAAAAAAAAATCATCGGAGAGAAAAAAGAAATGCTCACGAGGCCGACACCGAAGGGACTGCCGGCGCAAGAAATTTACACAAAAGCAAAAATAAAAAAAAACACGGCGGCAGGGTGTGGCTGTGTGTGTGTGTGGCGCTGCGGGTGTCTGCCAGCCCTGGCCGCAACGAAAACAAAACAAGAGCGGAAGCAATGTGTGCTCCGCCCCACAGGCCCTCGTCGCACGCCCACACGTCACGGCTCCCTCAGCGCGCCGTTCGTCGCGGCCCCTCCTCATGCGTGCAGCAGGCGAGGCGCACAGGGCCGTCGTCATGAGCGTGTCGGTGGTGTGCGAGTGGGGCAGTTGGGCGGAAACACACGGCACCCCTCGCAGGAGGAGTGCAGCAACAAACAATTAAAGAGGGAAGAGTAGAAAAGAAAACACGTCCATAATGACTGCCCCAAAAGGCAAAAGAAAGAAGGAAGGGAGTAAAAAATTAAAACAACAAAACAGAAATATAAAAAACGAAAACATAAAGAAAAAACGCAAAAAAAAAGTTTAAAATTACGCACACAAAATAAAAAGAAACAAAAACAAAAAGAAAGTAGCAAACAGAAAATTAAATTTAAAATAAGCAAAAAATGAGGAAAATATTTGAAGGGAATGAATTAGTTCTTGGACACAATTCGGTGCTGGGGAGGTCGCGAGTGTCCCACGCAGCAGCCAGTCACGCCTCACGCAGCCGCAAACACCCACAGTCCCAATAACAGAAGGAGCAGCGGCAGCAGTCCGCTCTCACGCACAGTGCCGGCATCGCTGTTATTCCCCTGCGACGAATTTCCCAGACTACTGCTGAGGGCCGTAGCATTTACTTCTCCGTTCTGCGGATGGATCTGCTCCTGCGCATCCGTTCCTCCTGCCGTCTCCCCATCCGCACCAGAGCTCACGCTCACATCAGCTGTCAATGCGGGTCCATCGTGCCCCTCGCCTTTAGCGGCAAGAAAGTTTGTATCGGCGGCGGCGGCGGTATTACCCACGGAAGGTGTGTGCGGTCCATCCCCCTGTATCGTATCTGCACTCCCCTCCCCCAACGTCGGGTTACCGCTAGACGAGGGAGAGACATCCACATCTGCATTTCCGTCAGGAGGCTTTCCTGGCGCGAGTTGGTTCACAGATTGCCCACTTCCTGAGGAAGTCGTTGAAGCGGACACTGCTGATGGGGATGCACTGCCACCGCCCACACCCTCACCTCCATTCAAAGGTTCCTGTCCCGCCTGCGGTGTTCTGCCAGGAGAAGACACCACGATTTCCTGCGCATTTGGGTCCTTCGGAGGCGTAATCGGGGGTTTAATTGCATTAAAGGCAGTAATCTCACTGTCATCCAAAGGACGGTTGTACAGCTGGACGTTCCTCACAGTCACAGACACGCCTCCTTGACCCTCTGTGTTGCCTCCACCCCCTCCAATGAAGAAGTGGGAGATCTCTTTAGAATTCGTATTCTCCACTTTACATGGCTCACCCACACGCCTACCATCGACGTACGCGGAGCCCTGAGTGCCGTTCTGCAGCACAATGGCCACTTGGTGCGTTTTCTCTTGCCCCTCAATGTGGTTTTGCACCTCCGTCGGTTTTTCACCGCACAGCACCTGCCACTTTTTCTCTTTGTTGTTGTACGACAGTCCCAGGAGTACTGGATTCTCTGCATCACTCATCTTCACACCCATCACTGGAATAGGGCCCTCCTTCGTCGGCTCACCGTCGATGGACACCGTCGCCACAAGAGTGAAGTTGTAGTTCGCAAAGCGGTACAGCTGATTCTCCCCCTGTCTGCCAACAGGCCACTCCGCCCACGCTCCCTGGAACGTCACGCCATCGGAAGACTCTGCAGTCTCTGCTACCCCTGCTGACGCTCCTTCTTCCGCTCCCTTCTTCACTGTGGCGTTCACCCCGAGGTACTCGTCCTTCCATGTTTCATCAGAGAAGTTGCCGGACAAAAAGCCAACCAGCCCATCCGTGATCTTAGTGTTTTTGAAGGCAGTGTCAGTTGAGGGACCCTTCAGAGCACCCTCAGAAGGGCACAGCTTGGAGACACGTTCGTCCACTTCCTTCCAGGTCGCCAGCACATCCTTCACCCGCTGCAGCTGCTCGGTCAGACGCACAGAGACCATACCGGGCGATGGTTTTTCTTTCTCATCGCCCTTCCTCTCGTACAGTGCAATCAACTCCTCATTATTATCATCTCCACTTGTAACACTTTTGTACAGCAGGGCGCTGGCGGCAACGTCATCGTCCTTCCCGGATACCGACCCAATATCAACAATGTGCGTATTGTCCGTCAGCCAAAGATGGAGTTCGCCCTTTTTGTTTTCATTTTGTGTTTCTTTGGCATACACCGGCAGAGCAACGAGCATCACTTCCTTATTATCATCATTGCCAAAAGTCACTGTGGTGAACCCGCTCCCAACGGCCTTCTCTTCTCTCTTGTGTTTGTTGCCCCACACACGCGAGAGTGTCCCGAGTGCCTCCGTCCACGACTCCCCCTTGTCGCCGGACTCGTACACCCTGCGGCGGCCATCACCACACGCAGTCATCATCATGAGCTTGTCCTTCCACTCCACCACGGAGGGATCACTGCAGCCATCGGCAGACATCCCCTTCGACAGCGTCCAACTCTCAATGTTCCTCGAAGTATCCAAAGTGTACAGGAGCAGCGAAACGGTAGTTGTCTTTCCATCCTCTTCTGCACCGTCCTTCTTCGTGCCTTCCACTGGAAAAACAAGCGTACCGTCCTTCGTCTTAACACCCGATCCGCCGCCTCCAATCAGTCGTGTCAAGGATTCGTGTTTGTCGCCCATATTGCACTGTAGACCGTCCGCCTCCTTCCACCGGATTTTTTTTTCAGTGTCATCTCCTTCAGTACTGACGTTCCCTTTCACCAGCAAAAGTCCCAATTGAGCTGCACCACTCTCCCGAGCATCAGCACCACCTTTACGGCTGTATTTCCCAACAAGCATGTAAATATCACCTCCATCCACAACTGCTGTCGGTCGGCTCACATCTACTCTCTTGCTTGTGGAAGTGCTTTTCTCCAGAACTTGTATCACTCTGGCATTCTTAAGTACTTCCTCCGGTGTGTTATCGTCTTTTATCGTGAGAAGTTGGGATGCAACGCCAGTAAAGACGTTGTTTTCATCCTTCTTCTTGCACTGCGCCTCGGCAACGGCAAATACGTCACTCCCCACTTTCAAAAGGGCCGGGAATTCCTAACGAC